GGTGCCTTTTTACCAATATAACAAGATTTTAAACTAATTCGGCTGGCCGCCACGACCTTCAAAACAGAATTTTTTTAGAAATTTTCATCCTTAGATAATAACAATTTATTTGCCATATCGGTCTATTAAGAACCTCGCTAAAAGCAACAATTTTTCAAACCAGTCACAGACGAAAGGATTAAAAATGAATTCCAAAAACTAAAATGGGAAAACGCTGATGACGTTAGAAATTCAGAACAACCAAAAGAATGAGAATGAAGAAATTTTTGGAAAACAATGGTGTTTAAACAAAGATCTTGCCATGATGCTAGTTGTGAAGGTGAAAGTCAGGATAGTACATCCGACATTTGCAGCCTCAATGCAATTCTCAACAAGTAATTATTGTACCGCAATAAAAAAAATAAATACAACTGAAAGTCCTCTCAACTGGTGCAGCGTCAATTGAAAAGAATTTACAATTTTGTCAAGTTTTTCAAGTTTTTCGCCTCGAGCGAATAGCTATTTAGTGGCGCAGGTTTGATATACGACCCTTTAAGAAACATGCTGTAACCCGAAAAGGCAACAGCATTACTTTTTATTAAATACAATATCCTAATTTTTAAATTCAAGCACTAAAAAGAAAACATTATTAAAAATTACAAACTTTTCCATTTTTTATTTACCTACATCGCCTAATTTACTCACCTAAATTATTTCTTAAAAATACTTGACATCCGCATTCGCATTCGCATCCGCATCCGCGGATGTTTAAAATTCCACATTCGCAACATCCCTAATATGTATATCACTGATTCATAACTATTTAAAACTAGCAGACCCGGCGAACTTCGTCCCGCCCAAAATTAATTTTTTTATTGAAACATTTGGTCCAACGCTTCACGTTCACGTTTAGTTTTGTTATCGACAGAAGGAATATCCTCCATTGCCGTTTTAAATAACCTGACGAAAGCTTTATGCAGGGAAGAAGTCTTTACGGCAACAATGATCCCGTTCGATGGTGACTCGTCTTTGAATCCGTATAGTATAGTTGGTGGCAATTTCCAAACTGGGGAGTATCATTGGTCCTAAGAAACCCAGTACCTTAATGTTTTACAATTGTAAGCATTCATCAAGAATTGTCTTTATTCGGTTTAGTCGCCGTAAAGCAAGGACCGCAATGGTTCTGATGGTTGATTTAACGGTGGTAATTTGACTTTGATCCCTGGTGTCTCCGAATGACTGCACGTAGCAATAACTCGGCTCCAGCGCCACTTTGGGTATCTTTTTTTGTAATAGTATTGCCCCTATCGTTACCAATACATATATATCTCGAATATGAGTCAAATCGGATCACAAATACTAATATTGAGTAAAAAACTCGACTCCAGGGCCTCCTGGCGTTTTAAGTTCTCAACCTAAACTATACAGGGACCTACTCAAACACATACACAAATTTCATCAAAATCGTTTCGCTCTGTTAGAAGGAGTTCAGTGTTTGTGACACATGTACCGAAGAATTATCTACACCCACCAGAATAAGTCTTTTACATATTGACGCTCTTCAACATTTTTTCCCATAAAAAAAGGTGTCACGCATTCGTTATACAGAGAAAATGCGCAACATCATCAGCAAAAAAAAATCTTAAAAATCGACGGTAGCTCAAAACTTGCACTTTATTATACTGAAATTGAGTGAAATGCAAAACTACATACTCAAAATTTGGTTAAAAGTTTAAAATTTGGTGAAATTTTGTCGAATTTTCCTAAATTTGAATGAACAGAAATTCTATAAAAAATTAACGAAAAATTTTATTATGTAAAAGATTGCAAGTATTAAAAAAAAACACTGTACGGAGACTTATTCTGGTGGGTGTATATATTTACAGATAGGTAAAAGTTTCAATATGTTTGGAAGACGCCACGCCGCCTTTTCCAATAGCCCCCACTTTTCTCCATGAGTATGGGGTTGATTTTAAAATGTCAGTACCAAGTTCCAGGACTCTACCACAAATAATTCCAGAGATATACGGTATGAAAAATTCGAATGTATGGGTGATGCCACGCTCCCTTAATATATCGAAAGCCTGCAGTAGGTGGTTAAAATTTCAAAAAAATTGGTACAGCCTTTCGCGAGACCACCTCTTATAAAAAGAAGGAGCTTCTTTTTATATACTTAGTATAGATAACACAGGGCAACACTGATTTTGATGCGGCAAATCTTAAAGCTGCCGGGAGGTCTAGCTTTAATTTAAGCCTAATTGAAAGGTTCTATCACCTTTTGTTTCCTTGCTAGGGCTGGTCAAATATTGCAAAAACCGCGAATTTTTGACACTTTAACCACGTCTTTCTCAAAATCTAGAGCTGATGGAAACTTTATACTTACGGATTCGTAATCAGCACAAATAAGTCATTCTATTTTTATTGGCCAGTGTAATAAGTATTGTAAAATAGCCAATATCGGGAATTAGATTTTTTCGAATAGATTGGTCCCTGGTCCACTTAACGGAAAAAATGATCCTACAGTGCAATCCATTTATAATGGACTCGCTTAAGATGGAAACTCTCTTAATATGTACCTATTTGTCAAGTCCTAGTTCAAACATATGACAAAAAACTCAGTTAAAATAGACTCGGTTATAACGGACTCCGCCTATAATGAACAATTGTTGTCCATTATAACCAAGGCCAAATAAAAAAAATAAATTCTGCAATAAGCAAAGTTCGGTAATTCGCCGAATTCAGTAAAGAGAGGCAACCGTCTCTGCGACAGAAAATGTCTATATACTTAACCAAAGTTCATTGGTTCACCGAAATCTGTAAAAATAGGCAATCAGCTTCGTGACGGTTCGTTGGGTTTTGATCTGTGTTTTGTTCACTTTAAGAAAAATTTCGGAACGGAAAAACGGGCATTTACCTTGCATGAAAAGTATACGATTTTGTATTTATACATGTAGATTATTTCTTTATTATTTAAAAATATTATATTCTAATAAAATGGACGCTCCGTTATGATGGACAATTTGACGCGGTCCCGTTGGTTCGTTACCACCTGCCTTACCTACACCCACATCAACAAAGTTGTTCAGTCATGCCTGATTATTGTAACAAAAGAAAGAAGAAAAAAAACGTCGAAGCACAGGAGATGAAGGAAAAAGATGCAAAGTATGAGGTCCCATCCTGTCAGGTGGAGTCGTCCCTCCCCTTCTACGTGCAACCTACGCGTAGCCATGGGCGTTGCCGCGACTCCTGCTACCTAGCAACACCCCCTAAGCCTGACAAAGTCCGTCGGTCACTAGTTCATACGTAAATTAACCGTCCAGTCTATGGTCAACACCCACATGTCCCCTCCTCTGACTAACTGTAACACCCACACCAAATACAATGCCTCTGTGTTTTACCTCAAACAAATAAATAAGAAGAAACCATTTTTTTCCGTGTTTTCCCCCTTTATTATACAATTCTTCAAATCTACAATTCAGTGAGTTGATTATTTATCCTAACACTAACACTACGTTTGTTCTGTACCAAACCAAAATTCAAATCAAATCTTCGCCCTAATCTTACACATTTAAATATCCGCCTTAGCTATGTATAATTCCCTAAACAAATTCATCAATTCACTTAAAAATAGTTAGATGTATACAAAAAAAAACTAAATTCAGGTTATTCACTTCAAACCAATAAGCTATAGATATTTAATCTAATACAAGGTCTAGAATATTACTAAAAAGACTTCTGCAGATTCTCTTATACTTCAATCACAAATTATCCCTAATACTATTCATTTATGATTTGGTTTCCCTTTATCTTATTATTTTTTTCTCTTCGCCAAAAAAACTAGTAGGAACTACCCTAATATTATGTTTCTGCACACACGTACAGACAAATGTAGCTAAAAACAAAACGTTGGAAAATGCCTCACAACACCGGCTTGAATAAAATCGAAAATAAGAAAAATGTATGTAACTATGTATGTATATATGAATACAAAATAGCTTCGCACTCACCTTAAGAGTCCCACGATGTTGGCGCCAGCATACGGAGATGACCTGTGGGGAGTTCAGAACAAGCATACATATGTACATACATGAATGAACAGCTGAGGTGGAGACACCAGTGCTGCTCAAGTACTTAGTTACTCGCTCATGATTGCGGGCGGTGAGCGAGTCTTTTAGCACAAATAAAATCCGGCAAAACACAAAGTAGCAAAAATTCGGCCGTGATACGACTGAGTCAAACAAAAATTATTAAGAAAAAAACGCGCGTGGGGCCATAAATGAGAAGGAGCAAAAAAAAACTAGCTATTATACTACCAAAAAAAGAATGAAAACTATGAAACCAAGTATTGTAAAAAAAAAACTGCATACACAATCAAAATAGCATGGCTGAATCCTATCAAACAAAGGTATTACATTCGCAAGTTTAATGATTAAATTATGTGTGGCGCGATTCCCTATAAATTACTTAATTTTTGCTAAAAATCTAATTTAATAAAAGAAAAACAAAAAAACCCACGCGCCTAAATCGCAAAATCTAACGACAAAACAGTGAGGAAATTACAATTGGTAAAACCATATAAAACATAGCAACAAAAATGTGATACTGTCAAAAATGGTCTGTTCTCCCTCAATGCACTGGCTGAGCGGCGTTGGCGTGGGTGTGATCGCGCATCGGCCGACGCGGCTGGAACGATGTTGGTATGTTTATGCTCCCTGGCTCTCCCTCGCTGGTAAATTTATATATATATGTATGTCACCTCTTCCTGATCTCTCTGGTGAATTCCAGTCTGCGCACAATTTTGGGACGGGTAATTCGCTGTTCTACTTTGCAGCGTGCGTTGACCTACTCTGATTTTTTTCCACAGAAACAGCTGACTACAGTGATTTGTGTACATATGTATGCATGATTCAACAATTACAGGTTGTAGCAATCGTACAAAAGCAACATTTACCGTTGGTATGAACTCCTTGTGTCAAAAACAGCTGATTTGCTTTGCTTATGTATTTATATTCGTGCATTTAAATACAAAAGGCTGCGGTCGCCTTGGACAAAATCAATTAAATTTTGCACTTTTAGTGATTATTTAAATACACATTGTGCATACACATTTAAATACATGTGGTTATAAATTTGTACTTAACTTTTAACAACGGTGATAGGTTCATATGCTTTGGGAACCTAAAATTTGAGAGTTGCTGGCGCAGGATTTTTGGAGGTTTTCTGGCCATAGTCGAAATAAAATTCAGGTTTTTGACAAAAATTCTTTCAGCAAAGCCCAATAATGGACTTCCAAGAACTGTAAGTGGAGCCGCGCCAAGCAGTCCTGAAATACACAAAAGTAGATCGGCTGTTTCAGTGAGTACCAGAACTTTATGACACATTGGAGGTGGAGCACACCAATGTCTGGGCGGAGAAGATCCTAAGTACGGAAAATACTGCTCGGAACCGACTTTGTACCAAAGCAATGGCGTTCGATGGCATAGAACAATAAAATGTGTTTGGAACAAATCTGTAAACTTTGCGGAAGATTTAAGTTTCGTATAATCATTTTGTTTACCATGCTTTACCCCGCGCTAAAAAGTTGTAATCTTTATTTTTAGCTTTTTAATATTGCAATATCAGGACATGAGGGCAATGAATATGCATCAATGTAGTCTTGGGTACTTGGAAATACCAACAAATATGCAACGAAAATATCTGGAATCGGAACAGTAGCAATATTATAGCACATCTGCCTCAGAAATTTAATGATCGACCAACATTTGCAAAAGAGTAACACCATACACTCTGAGCTTTCTTTGAAGGCATTGAATATTCAAAAGTAGTTTAGTTATTTGTACAACGATTTTGGGTTGCTAAGCGCAAACGCGTGACCCGGATCAAAAAACGTTTAAACACACTTGTAGACAAGAGTCTACGCTTTACTTTAAAACAAATTTACTATATCTGTGCACTATTTTATTAATAATTTCGTATTGAAATATGCTATTCTTTTCAAATTTCCGAGCTGAGCTGTCAAACACAAAAAATATTCTCGAAATATGGCTGCGTTCGAGATGTCAATCACAACCGCAGTGTTGAAAATGTTGCCAAAGTATCACGTTCTGTGCGAATTTCTGGCAACACTTGCAACACGCCGAACGTTCGCGCAGCCATTTTGCGCATAAATATTGCGCATCATAAGTATCACAGAATTGAACGCTACAAGTTGTGCGCGATGGCATCGGAAGAAGAAAGGTAAGTGAAATTCATATTTATTTGATTTTATACGCAAGTAACATATTTCATAAGCATGTTTATATTCTTATATGGTTTGTATTTTTGTTTTTATTGCATTTTTCAGCGATAAAATGGGTACTTCGATGACAAAGCTACTCATACGATGACGGCTTGACATGGAACCAGAGTTTGTTTCAGGCAG